TATAATCAAAAGTGTAGAGGAAGGGGAATTGGGGGATTGAGAAGAAGAAGAAAGGAGGAAGCACTGGAAACTGAAATAGAACAAGGTAAACTCCATGCATGTATGATTAAGTCAAAATGAACCCAATTATTATGTTTAACTATAATGTACTAACAGGAGGATTAAAAAGTATCTATAGTTATATTTGATCCACAGGACTGCAAAACAAAAACAAAGCAAATTTTATTAAAAATGTAGTTCTGTCCCAGCTGTGAGAGTATATGTGGACTGTTAGACAATGAAAAAACAAAACAAAACAACAACAACAAAGAAACCCAAAAATCAACTCTGACTCTATAGTTGTTTTGCAAACACTTAGAGAAAGCAAAGGAGGTGATTCCTAGTATTATGTCTTGGAATAAAACTGGCTGACATTATTTGAAAGATAAATCATGCAAGGTCATGATACCTACCAAGAGACCTCCCATCACTCTTCACTGAGATAAAAAAGCTACCCCCAGACCCTGGCTCAACAGCCAGCACCCACTTATCCAGTGGGAATGCATATTACCTGGTAACTACACAGTGCATTGACAGGGAAGCAAAAATGTTTGCTCAAAGTAGACATGCTTTATTTATTTCAGATTGAAGCTAGGGTTCAGTCCTATGTTGTGTTACACAACACTAATGTATGTCTGCACTAAAACTGATGCTTCACAGAAATCTTTTTCCTCAAACTATTGTGAACTAGGGAGACAGTGGCCTAAACCCATAAAGAATGTATTCAAAGATCAATATAGCACTTTTCCTTTGGAAATCATTCCTACCTATATGACATTTATATTTGCTCCATCAGAGATATTAAACACTGTGCTTAAATACGAATCTCCTAATACCTGATTTTTTTACATAGGTGTCTATGCTTTAACCTCTAGGCCTCTCTGAGACTAGAGACAAAAATGTAGAAAAGACTGGCAAGGAAGACCTAGAAAATTCTCTGACAAGAGAAGGAAAACTAGCTAAAGAATTAAAAGGAAAATTGAGACAATTGACTTGAAACAGCAGAAAGACCCTAAAAAAAAAGTGTTAGCAGTGAAATTCCTTTGAGGGGGCCTCCCTAACACTATCTTAACATGGTTGTCTGAACCCTGCCCTGCTCAAACCACACCCTCAGTGTGACCAGCCTTGCCTTTGACCAATAGCCTTTGTTATTGACCAATAGCCTCAGGATATGTGGTGAGTCAAGGGGCCACAGCGTGGGGGATGAAGAATAAAAGGATGTGCCTTCTAGTAGTTGGACGTGCCTTCTAGTAGTCTTCAGTTGCTTCTGAAGCATCTGAGATTATCGATAAGCTCCTAGACCAGACACCATGGTTCATTTCACAGCTGAGGATAAGGCTGCTATCACAAGCATGTGGAGAAAAGTGAATGTGGAAGAATCTGGAGGAGAAACCTTGGGAAGGTAGGATCTGGGGGCCAGGACAAGGGAGGGTAGGAAGGAAACTGCAACTAGCAGAAATCTAGGCATCTTCTTGGGATTTGTGAGACACCCTGACTTTCCAATTATCATTGCTCTATCTCATAGGCTCCTGGTTGTCTATCCCTGGACCCAGAGGTTCTTTGACAGCTTTGGAAACCTGTCCTCTGCCTCTGCCATCATGGGTAACCCCAAGGTCAAGGCCCATGGCAAGAAGGTTCTGACTTCCTTGGGAGACGCTTTAAGGGACATAGATGACCTCAAGGGTGCCTTTTCCCAGCTGAGTGAGCTGCATTGTGAAAGGCTGCATGTGGATCCTGAGAACTTCAGGGTGAGTCCAGGAGATACTCAATTTCTTTTGCTCTCAGCCTTGGGAAAGCTTAGGTAATTAAGCATTGATCTGAGCATTAGTGAAGCTACCTGTAGAGAGTGACATATTCTGAGATATTGAATTCGGGAGTAAAGCAACTGCAGAGGGCTCACTCAGCTGAGACCAAGTGGTACTTGGGCCTAAGGGGTGCTTCTAGAAGTCTAGAGTACACTCTGTTGGCTTTGAGAGGATAGTTATATAAAGATGGAGAAGATCGGTTTTTAAAATGAAACTCTTATAGGATGAACCCTTTTCTACAAGAAAATTCTTTTTCCCTCTTTTTAATTCATTTTAAACCCTGCTGAAAGCAAGAAAAGAATAGCTATAGAAAGGATATTCTCACATTGACTCAGTAAAAGGAAGAAACCTAGGCCAAGCATTGCTAAGGCAATTCCCATATTGGTTGGGCATTTTGTGAAGTGTTTCTAATGCTCAACTTACAACCCCAGAAGAGGGGTTATGTGTCTCAGACAGACAAACAACTGGAACATTTGGACTGCATTGGGTTTGGAAAGATAACTGATAACCGTGTTTTTAAAATTTTTTTAAGTCCAAAAAATGTGGGGTTTTGGGTTGGTAAGATATAAAATTTCAAATCATGATACACACATTTAAATTTAAATATTTAAAGCCTGATTAGTTCCACAAAGGGAATGAACTACCTGTGTAGTTTGGGTACCTGGGCTTCACCTCAGGCTTTGAGGGAAATTGACATATGCGTAGTTCTGAGTGAGAACTGGGTGTTTAGATAACAGGAAACCAGTTTAGATCTCTCTGTTCACTGTGCTTATTATCTATTGTCTCTTTCCACTTCACAGCTCCTGGGAAACATGCTTGTGATTATTCTGGCAAAACATTTTGGCAAGGAATTCACCCCCCAGATGCAGGCTTCCTGGCAGAAGATGGTGGCTGGAGTGGCCAGCGCTCTGGCCCACAAGTATCACTGAACCTCCCACCCATAGTGCAGAAGATTCAGAGAGAAGCTTTCTTTCGAATAATAACAAAAATAATAAAAGTATTCTTTTAATAAATATTTTGTGATTACCTTCAGTTCTACTTTTACATGTACTTTTAAATATATAAGCACAAAAGAATTTTATGTTGAGGTCGTGTGTGTGTGTGTGTGTGTGTGTGTGTGTTCTCCATTTATTTTTGCAAAAGATGTAGATTTTACTGAGAAAATAAAAGAAGGACATGCACATGTGAATTCCCCAAGGGAAAGCACAGGTGCAGGAGAGTTCTGGTGGGAAGGAAGAGCTCTATGGTACAAGGAGTCTCAGAACAAGACAATTTAGATTAGAGGAAGAACAATTCAGGGAGAACCCCCCAAGGGCTAGTCAGAGGCACTGTACCAAGAATGGGCTAAATGGAAGAAAATTATTCCAGGCTTAGGAGGTCAAGGTTCAGGCAGGGGTTGTGATTACATTCTATTTGCTTTTGTTTTTCATAGCACTTTAAAAAAAATATTTTTGTAGTTGTAGTTGGTACAATATCTTTATTTATTTTTTTTATGTGGTGCTGAGGATCAAACCCAGTACCTCACACGTGCAGGGAAGTGCTCTACCACTAAGCTACAGCCCCAGCCCCTTTTCATAGCACTTTTTTGGCTAGAGTGGGGGTTGGAGGACAAAGCTCTTGCCCAAGTCAACTCCAGAGAACTGGCCCTCATTTTTCTGAGGAAATGTATACACTAAGTGTTGGTGTGTACCTCATGGAGGTTGAATTAGTCCTTATGAGAGACAATGCCAAAGTGTGCAAATTATTTGTAGCATGTCAAGGAAAAGAAATTATTATAACCTGCTAGGAGAGGTGAGGATACTTGTGAGGAAAATAAACCAGCAGATAAGAAGCTGCATCAGTGTGTCTGAGCAAAAGACCAACACTGTGAGAGCAAAAGGAAGTGGGAAGAATTTATATGGATTAGTTGGGAAGGCAGATTAACAGGAGTTCTCCATATATATAAGCAAAAATGTGAGCGATGCATAAGTATTATGGGAAGATATGTCTGGCTGTGGGTGCTGAATAAACTAGAGATCATATTAACGTTAGGTGTACTAATCTCCATTGGTTTCAATGTCTTGGAATTAAATTCTCACCCAAGTCTCATTTATAATACCAAATAATATATCTGAGGCCATCTCCATGTCTTGGATTCGTCTTATTTTCCCTTAGTACATTTTTCTCTGGACTTTTCATGCTTTGCCTATAAACGAAGTAGCAAGATTTTATTGTTTGCTTGTTTTTCTTTCTTCTTTTATTTCCCAGCCTCAGAGTTTTGCACAGAAGCCTTTCCTGCTTCTGGGAACTTTCTTCTGAACTACTTCTGGCTGACTCCACCTTATCATTAAGTCACTTCAAAGGTGACTTTTTAATCTAAGGCTATCTTATAATAGTCACCTATAGTCACTTGGTATCATACTATTGCTTGTATGTAAAATTCTCTTATTTGTTTAATCACTTAGATTGGGCCCCTCTGGTAGAAGTAACATTCATGAGACCACATGAACTTTTGGTCTTTTTCACTAAAATTCTCAGTGTTTAAAACAGCACACAGCATGATGGGGCTCAATAAATATTTGCTCTTTAAAAGATATACAACAATGAAGGATTATTAGATTCTATGGTATTGATCTTGATGTGATCAAGGCCCAGACGCCAATGGAAGCAATGAATATAGACATAAGTTAGAATTGTAGAAAAACTATGAACAAGAATAAAAAATATCTTGAAAGTGATTGTCTATAGAGGAGTCACTGTCTGGTTTACTGTTTTCACATACAGAGTTTTAAGGTCCCTGAGTTGAGAGGGATAGCTGGGTAAACACACCATGTTGGAGATGAGCATTAAGGTCATTGGAGAGCAAGTGCCCTGAGCCACCCTGCCTCAGTCCAGGCCCAATAATGTGTGCAGGAAGTATTCCTGTGGCCAAAATCACCTATTCTTTTTACTTCCTAAATCTTTGGTCTTAAAATAAGCCACCTCCCCAGGTTTGACTCAGACTTTATATGTCTGTAACTAAGTACAGAATCTTTCCTTTATATCTCAGAACCAAGCCACTTTGAGCCTGAGAGCTCATAGATACTTCAGTCTCTCATGGCATAATAACTTCTGGCCTCTTGGTCATTGTTGTTATCCATACATCCTATTTAAATTTTTCCAAATCTAAGTAGATAAAATATTTCTCACTGTATCAAGTAGACAGAAATAATTTATTTTCAAATAACAAATTTAGGTCTAATATATTGGGTCTATATCTTAGAGTGTTAGAATGCTCCAAGAAATATTTACTACACTGTAGTTTTTATAAAAATTAATCTCAGGGACAAAGAAATTCATTTTCTGGAGCTCTGAGAGTGGGAAATAGATCTGAGAAAAAATAATAAAATGAACTACTCCTTCTACCATGAGAAGTGTCTATCCTGTAACTGTTTCTTTAAAATGTGTGAAACCAAAGTACCTCGGGCCACGACAGCATTAGTATGTGTACAACTGTTAATGAAGTCTGCCTCACCTGATGAGATATGAGGAAAAGTTATATACAGCACAGGAGACACAAATATACACTAGCCACAAATCACCTACTCCCAGGTCTTGCCATGGGATCTTGTATTTTTCTATCCACTGAACATATAAACACTTCCTGCCCACAACACTAAATTGAGTATTTGATCACATGAGTGAGTAGGCATGAGGCCACACATATTCACTCATATAATGAATGAAAAACATTTTGCTTAGACTGTGAATATATTATTAGTATAACTTAAAAATAACAAAGTAATGCTCACTTTTTGTCTCATTAAGGCAAAAGAGAATTGAAATGAAAAGTCAAGCCTTCAGAAGTAATAAAGATGAAAAAATAACCCCGAGGCCTTAAAAATTTTACTTAACATTTTAAAGAATCAATTTTGTTGCTTATAAGATTAGATTATCCTCACCTCCTCAAATGGTATAAAATTTCAAAGAAGTATTAGTAAAGAACATTTTCTGTCATTTTTTAATGGGTAACAATAGTAGTTTACACAACATACTGTGGCTTGTTTCTGTATGCCTTTTTCCATTTTGTACCCTTGACCTGGCTGTATTCTTTATTAATTACAAACTTAAATATCTAAATATTTCCTTTTGGATTGCTCAAGTGTGATCAAATACAATATGCCCAAAACTGAGGTCACCAAGATTGTGCATGTGGGAGAGAAGACTGTAGCAAGTAGATAGACTGTGCTTGAATTAGAAATTGAGTTCCAGAGCATATCCAAAAAGTATTCTAGTTTGAGTGTTATTTTTGAAACAAACAACAACACTATGTTCCAATGGATGAATGCCCTGACTTTTTTTTAAAGAGGTTAATATTTATCTGCTTGATAAACTCAGATGAGGCCCATCCTTATCTAGAATATTAGGAATTAGCAAAGCTTGAATAATTGGAGTAAAGCAAATACACTTTAACACACACACACACACACACACATATATATATATATATATATATTTTTTTTTTTTTTTTGAGGGCTTGTAGATTTGTCTGTGCCTCTGTGTGAGTTGGGTGGTCAGGGGTGCAGAGGTGCTGCAGAACCTTCACAGGATGGGAGCGAGATCACAGGTATGAAGGGGTAAGTGAGCTCATGGCACTTGAATTCTGGAATGGTCCAGATCTGATGAGATATGAGGAAAAGTTATAGACAGTATAGGAGATCTGAGCCTGAGGTTCTCAACAGAACCACATTTATCGATACTCATCCTTTCTCATAACTTATTTTGGCTTTGTGTACTTAAGCTGTTGATAGTCTTATGATAACTCACAGTCTCATCCCTAGAGAACCCAAGCAACTGAAGAAAATTTCTGATCCCACATGAGTCACAGTGAGCAGCCTTCCCAAGAGCAGCTACCCTGCCCTGAGGCCTGGATGATAGTATCTACAGCAGTTGAAAGTAGAAGAGAGTTGCCCCAGAAGAAAGCAACACAGGAGAAAGATTATAGAGCACAGGATCTTAAAAAGTGCTAAATTCTGCCAAACAAAATTTCAAAATTGTAGCTTTGACAATTGGCTCTTTGCAGAAAAATATAAAAAATTTATATATTATTTTTAGTAAGATCTGTGGGTTTTAGGGACAGGATGCCTGCAAAGGATGCATCAGAATTTCTCTAGAACATCTTTTTACCCCATCTACATGACTGATCTCTGGCAGGAGAGGTGTGAAAAAGAATATTGAAAACAGCTTGGATGTAAAACAGTTATAAGACCAATTCAGATTTTAATATAATAAAACCCAAGAATCTAAAGGTGAAGCTAAATCCTCTTTTATTATTATTATTATTATTAAAAATATTTGAAAGACCTCTTATCCAAGAAAAAAATAAAATGAAAATTTTACTAATTTCCTTGGAATAACAACCAATACAGAATCTCCCTTTTTTCAGGGTAACCTAAAATATTAGTATAATTGGGTTTCAAAGTGGTAGAGCTGAAAGGATGAGCTATCTCTGTGAAACATGCATTGCCAGGGAAAAATAAGGAAATTTCTAGACTTTGGGTTCTCAGAATCAGGAGGAGACTATAAAGTAGAAATATGGTAAGAGAAATTAAAAAGCATTCCTCCTTTTTGAAAGGAAATGGGAATGTAAGCAAGGGACAAATTCCAGGAGGTAGAGATGATAGAAAGTGGAAAGATGACTAAGAGAGTCCTCCAGGAAACTTGAGATCTTGAACTGCCCTTTGAACTGTCTTTGCTTTTTAAATTATGTCCTCTAATAACAAAAAGCAAAACTCTACACTTCAGAAGTTTTTCCTATCCTGAGAACTTAGCACTGTATTATGTGGTACAAAAAAGAAGGGGAAGGAGAACACTACTGGAAAACCTGGAAAGAGAAAGAAAACATATAGAGAGAAAAAGAGACTGTGGGCAAGAATTTTAACCAAGGACATGATTCTAAAACACAGCATTCCTGGAGGCCTAGGGGGAAAAAAATACCATAGCCAA